TTTTGGGTTTCGGGTTTTGGGTTTTGGGGTTTGGGTTTTGGGTTTTGGGTTTAGGGTTTAGGGTTTCGGGTTTTGGGTTTAGGGTTTTGGGTTTAGGGTTTTGGGTTCCGGGTTTTGGGTTTAGGGTTTAGGGTTTAGGGTTTAGGGTTTAGGGTCCTTTTGTGACTTGCGCGGGTTTTTTAGGGAAGATGAACTTGTGGAAGTTGTCATTCACTTCACAATTTGCAGGCTGTTGGAGTAGGTGCCGTCGGTTGCCACATGGTCTCTCGCCTGGCAGCTGCGGAGCCTCAAGCCCCTCATGCCAAAACATGCCGTTACTGCTCGCACATCCCTGTGCCCCTGTTGATTTCATATCTCTGTGTTGGTTGAAGTCGAACAATCAACGACGCCTAACTTGGATCACCATGATTAGAAGTTCGAGCTCTTCGCAGTTTGAAGAGAAGCTGGTGTTCATGAGCTGTCTCAAGCGCCGTGCGGAAGACAGTGATGCTTCCCCCAAAGCTGCAAAGAGGCTCGTGGCAAACCTGCAGCAGCGGTGTTCTGATTCTGTTCTCACATGCTTCTCTCAACGTTTGGTTCAGCCGTGGTGTGGCGGTTGCCTCGGCCGCAAACCACCCTGAGCATCCTTTAAATCCAAAGACCCCTTGCATGAAGTCCGCAAAACTGTAGCAGGCTACGGAGCCGATTGCGCATCGAGGACGAGGCCGTATCTTTTTTTTTTGTTACGGTATGTTGTATCTGGAAAGTGGTAGAATTTTCGACATAGAGGCAACGCATAAAGTACATTGTAGAAAAGTATATGACTGGCAGTTCACAAACTGGAATGGGTCAGTTGAGATGAAATGCAAATCTCGGTCTGGCCTCGTCTGATGACATTCGTCTGAGTCTTTTGACGGATTTGGTATGGAAGGGGGCCGCCAGGGAGTATGTTGCCTCAGAGACTTTTGGTTTAGGGTTTAGGGTTTAGGGTTTAGGGGCCAGGGAGCTCAAACCTGAAGTCCCGACGCTTTTTGCTGAAGTTGCAGGGCAGCTTCCTTGGTGTACCGCGCGCATCTTTGTCCTACAGGGAACATCAAGGCAGAGCATCCTGAATCCTGTAGATATAGATTGATAGATAGAAAGATTGTTAGATAGATAGATAGATAGATAGATAGATAGATAGATAGATAGATATATATATATATATATATGTATCAACTCCATAGAGCATGATAACAACTCCATATAAACCCCATGAAGTCCCTACTGTACAAAGACTCAAAAAGCCCTTGAAGTGCGCAGGACCGCGCCTTTGCAGACGGACACCTGCTCTTGGGCTTGCTCCATCAGGAGCATTAGGGTTTAGGGTTTAGGGTTTAGGGTTTAGGGTTTAGGGTTTAGGGTTTAGGGGTTTAGGGTTTAGGGTCTTGGGTTTAGGGGTTTAGGGTTTAGGGTTTCTTGTTTGGGGTTTAGGGTCGTTTGCAGTCTATGAGATGGAAGAGTGTGATGATGTGTGATGCCTCCATGCCGCCTGCAGAGGTCTAGGCTCCTTGAGCTCTTCGGACCTGTGCCAGATGCAGTTGCTAGAAACCCTAAACCCTAAACCCTAAACCCTAAACCCTAAACCCCAAACCCTAAACCCTAAACCCCTAAACCCTAAACCCTACACTCGTCAGCCCCCTGACAGCCGCGAGCCCCGGAAGCCTTGGCACAGGATGGAGAAACTGACGCTGTTGACGTGTGCCCGGCATGTCTGCGAGGTTTAGGGTTTAGGGCTTAGGGTTTAGGCGTACTGCCGGGGGGCCTTTCCATGTCCACTTCAAGGTATGAGGTGGGCGTGGCCGAACCTTGAAAACTTTCTCCATCTCGTATTCGGTACAAGACTTGACGACTGAACTCCGAATGTCGGTCAAGTTTTCCGGGACGTCTTACGCTCGATTCGAGTTTGAAGCACATCTTGAAGCCAGAAAGTGGAGAGGCGGCTGCGCAGCGTTCGGCTTCCTCCGCGCAGTGGCCGCGGGAGGCGCTTGGTGAGTTTTAGAGGGAAAGAACTAGGAAAGAAGTGAACCTGACTGCTTCTTCTGAGCAAGTTTCGTTTATGAAAGGTCAAACTCGGAACGCTACAGCCCTAGCAGAATTTATGGACCCGATATCCTAAAGGCGAGAGAATTCGTGTTTAGTGCTGGGCTGTGGTTTAGGGCTTTGGGACGGCAGGTCCAAGTCAATGGGATTTGTTCAGGCGAGTTTTAGGGGTTCAGTCGGTTTGAGTTGTTTGCAAGACTCCACTGCCCACATTAAAGATATACTTGCAAAGACAGACGGGACCCTGCAACCTGAACTAGCCCCCGACCCCAAACCCCATCACCCAGCACACCCGTATCATATTTCAAGTCAAGAGCTGCAAAGCTTTCGGCGCTTTGCTCTCGTCACTCTCGTCGTGAGGTCTTTGTGTGGTTCTTCCTGGATCGCGTCAACGAGGTCGATACAGCGACTCTGCTTAAGGATTGGGTTTAGGGCGTTTAGGGTTTAGGGTGTAGGACTTCCGAATTTCGCCTGAATGGCGTGCCAGGTTTCCCAGTTCCTTAGGTCCTTTCCGGGTTGCCCATGCCTCCTCGAGGGAGGGTCTGGCCACTGTTACTTCACCGGGTCACTGGAGTTGGGTTTGCACTCATGCCAACCCTAAACCCTAAACCCTAAACCCTAAACCCTAAACCCTAAACCCTAAGCCGGTTTAGGGTTTTGGGTTTA